GACGAGAGCGCGACGCGACGCTCCGATTCTATGCTTTGATCGTCGTCGTCGTCGTCGCGTACCCGCACGTACCGGTTAGGTGAAAAGAGAGCAAGGAAAGCGAAGGCTACGAAACCGTGGCGAACAAACACACGGTGGAGCGAGAGAGAAGAAGAACGGTCGACGTACACATCATTTGGGCGCCGAGAAGTCTGGCGCGACCAGGCCAAGCCAGGCCAGGCCACAGGCGCGTCTCTGGTTACGCGACCATTTGGGGCGCCAACGGTGGAACGCGTTTGGGGCGAGAGAGGGCGAGAGGGGACCGCGGGGAGGGCAGGACGGAAGAGGGACAGAAGGGAAAAACCATAGGAGGGCAAAGAGAGAGAAAAAGAGGCCCCGAGAGGGGTCAGCGGAGTCGTAGGTAGGCGTCCGAGCATCGTCGAGCTTCGAACCGGGGGAATCGCGTAGGGTGGTGTACAGAGACTTGGGAAAGGAGAAAGAAGGGGGTGACGGAGGGGGAATGAACGAAGGGGCCCCCATAGGCTACATTCCAGCGGGACGCGAGTTTTCAAACATGGCTACCCACGTGAATGTAGGTCCACGACCGAACCTATAACGCGCACACGCTCGACCTTACCAGGCTCGTTCCTTCTTTTTCTCCGTTTCGCGTTTCTCTCCGTTTCTCCTCCGGTAATCTGCTCGAACGATTCCCTCCCATAGCGTGCTCCTTCCCCCTAATGCCTGCTGCGTCACACGCTTCTACAGACACTAACCCACAGAATCCCCTTGCCCCTTAGCACCATCGGGTTCTCGGTCCCCTCTCCCCTCGCGGCAACCCGGACGGCCCGGCCGACCGAGCTGGCGACACCCTGTCTGGCAAGACCGGCCGGCGGACAAAGGAGGGGGAGCCTGGCCGCTGCGTTGCCACGTCCTCGGACTTCGGGCTGCGCCTACCTTCGGCCCCAAGGACAAATCCGATCAACGTGCCAGCCGTCGTGGCGTACTTAGGCGACTGCCGGTCTGCTACCGCCGCGGCGCTTTCCAC